TGTTTGTTTAATCATTGTAAATAAAGCACCATTACAAAAAAAAAACTCCTAAATTAGGAGGATTTATAGTGTTTTCATACTTCCCCTCCAGCGTGACTCGAACGTAGGACCTAACGGTCGTGGGTGGAGGTGCTTTTAAGCACCATTACACATACTCATAAGAAAAAACTTGTAAGTTGGATTGAATATTCATAATTTATTTAGGCTAGAAATATCGTAACTCCAACATGTGACTTTGACAATTAGCCTTATTTGGTGAAAAATGCGATGATATGGTTAATTACATGATTTTGCCTTTACGAATAAATCTCTAAAATATTGGTAAAGAATATTTGTATATTCTAAACTGCAATTATTGCTTCTATCATTAGGGACTCCAACAGCTCATTCCACTCCCTGGCCACATACTTTCTCCCCTTCAAAACATACTCGTTTAGAATTTTTCTCTACAAATATTTAAAAGCTTCTTTAAAACGTAAAGCAAAACCAAATTAACACGCCATTTTACAATTTAATTAACGCCAATACGTTTGTTTACTTATTCCAAACCTTGCCCTAACTCTTTCTGGATTAAACTTTTAGAATCATTATTCCACATTGTTTGAAAATATCTCCATCACGTATTCTCCATTTTTATGATTCTTCTCTCTACATATTTTTAATATTTTGCTACTCGAAAGAAATAAAAGAAAAACTTAAGTCATATATATACATTAATAGTGTTTAAATATATTTTCTTGTTGTCAATATGGTTTAATTAGTTATGTCAAATTTTTATTTCACGTTTTCTATCAACACTTATTACAAAGAGTTTCTAACTATAATTACTGAACATAATTACAAGTTAAAAGGGAATGCCATCATTTACAGGCTTACCAGCTTCTTTCCATAGCCTCGGTAGTGACCTAGTTTTAAATTATTTTTATTTAAAATTCAGCTCATAAGAATAAAATTTATTCAGAAAAACTTACAATCACATATCTAGCTTTCACTAAATTTATTCTCATTAGAAGTCATAAGAATTGTGTAACGACCCGGCCAGTCATTTTGAGTATTATAGCCTCGTTCCCCCATTTAATATTTATCATGTGTTCAATTATAATTACGTGACTCGTCAGAGAGGGTTCAGAATGAATTGGAACACTTAGTTCTAAGATTTAAAGCTTAAGTTGAAATAGTTGATCGGATGTTGACTATGTGTAAACGACTCCGGAATAGAATTTTAATGATTCCAATAGCTCTATATGATGATTTTGGACTTAGGAACGTATCCGAAAAATTATTTGGAAGTCTGTAGTTAAATTAGGCTTGATTTGGCTAAAATAAAAATTTAAGTTTGAAAGTTTGACCGGGGAGTTGACTTTTTGATATCGGTATCGGATTCTAGTTCTAAAAAATTTCATAGGTTCGTCATGCCATTTATGACTTGCGTGCAAAATTTGAGGTCAATCGGACTTGATTTGATAGGTTTCGGCATCGAATGTAGAAGTTAAAATTTCTTAGATTTATTAAGTTTGAATTGGGGTATGATTCGTGGTTTTAGTGTTGTTTGATGTGATTTGAGGTCTCGACTAAGTTCGTATAATGTTTTAGGACTTGTTGGTATATTTGGTTGAGGTCCTGGGGGCCTCGGGTGAGTTTCAAATGATTAACGGATCAAATTCGGACTTAAGAAAATGTTGGAATTTTTCTGTTGCTGGTGTCTTCACACCTGCGCATGAGTGACCGCAGGTGCGGCTCGCAGAAGCATGAAAACTAGTCGCAGAAGCGACCTGGGGAAGGCTGGCTGGGAGGCATCGCAGAAGCAGCCCAACTCGCGTAGAAGCGCGACCGCAGATGCGGTTTGAACGTCGCAGAAGCGACCACTGCTGGCCAAGGCTGACTCGCAGATGCGAGCTTCTTCCGTAGAAGCGGAGGCCGCAGATGCGACTATGCGGCCGCAAATGCGGAAGACGCTAGGCAGAAACTTTAAGTTCGGGGTTTCGCTATTTTTAGCCATTTTTCGGATTTTAGAGCTCGGTTTGGGCGACTTTAAGAGGAATTTTTCCACACAACTTGGGGTAAGTGTTCTTGACTCCGTTGTGATTATATTTCATGAATTAATCTTCATTTTTAGTGTATGATTATCGAATCTTCAAGAGAAATCGAAGAAAATTTCTATAATTTCATAAAATAAATTTTCTAGTTTTGAATACCGATTCGGAGTCGGATTTGAGTGAAATTAGAATGGTTGAACTTGTAATTGGATGGGTTGTCGAATTTTGCGAGTTTCGTCGGATTCCGAGACGTGGGCCCCACTGTCGATTTTTCGAGCGGAGTTAGGAATTTTTAAAAATTATTAAATTGCAAGCATTGGAGTATATTTTGATTAATTTGCACGTTGTTTGACTAGTTTCGAATCATTTGTCGTTGAATTGAGGAGATATGAAGGCGTTCGGAGGTTGATACGCGCGGAATGGAATTTCTGGAGTATTGTTTAGCTTGCTCGGCATTGGATTCGTCTTGTTCGAGTTAAGTAACTCTTCTAATCTTGGAGCTGGGGGTATGAACCCTGCTATACGTGTTATATGTTTGGTGTTGAGGTGACGCACATGCTAGGTGACGGGCGTGTGGGCGTGTGGGCTTGCACCGTGTAAACTGTGACTCCGTTATTTCTGTGGTACTGTGTAGTTACCTGAACTTATCTGTAATCATGAATTCTCTACCTACTAGAGTTTTCAAGCTGTGATTCATGTTAGAAGCCATGTCTAGACTATATGCTTATCCTGTTTGGACCCACTAAGGTCATTACTGCTGTTGAGTTATTTGCTTACATTTCAACTTCATACTCAATCATGTCCATTCATTACATATCATATCTCAGTCTCTGTTGTTATTTATTGATATATTATATCATCATTTCGGATCCCGAGAGACTGGAGAGATTGATGATTGAGTGAGGTCGAGGGTCTGATTTTGAGATACTGATACTATAGCACGTAAATTATCTGTATATCACGTGAGTTGTCTGTGCGTATCCAGATATTTATACTATGGCACGTGAGTTGTCCGTGCGGATCCAGATATTTATACTATGGCACGTGAGTTGTCCGTGCGGATCCAGATATTTATACTATGGCACGTGATTTGTTCGAACAACACGTGAGTTGTCCGTGCGGATTCAGATATTTATACTATAGCACGTGAGTTGTCCGTGCAGTTTATAGCATTTGGGTTGAAGGAGCCCCTACGGAGTCTGTACACACACCCAGTGAGCGCAGGTACCTACTAAACGAGTGTCGAGTGCGAGTGGTGCCGAGCGATTGGGAGGATTGAGTGACTGTGAGGATTGAGTGACTGAGATGACTGAATGAAATGATACTCTGAGAGTATGCATATGGTTTTATTACTGAGTTGCATCGCATTGACATGCACACTTGGCATACACGCATAAAGATACATTTTTCCTCATGTTGTACGATATTGCGTCATTCATGACTTCTCCTACATATTGACATGTAGGCATAAAGATGTATTTTCATGTTATTTAAAAATGAAACAATTACATGTTGAAAGTTTTGGGAAAAATCACAGTTTTCGAACTTACTCATAAATGGGTAATTTCGGTAAAGGATTTGGGTTTTCACTGATATATTTGAAAAGCATGACTATTTTTCTGGAACTGTGAACGAGCTGAGTATTTTATCTCTGAGCTACTTTTTTTATTATTTCTATTATGTTATTATGAACTGTTGTGGGCTATTGGTGTTGGACCATGACCTTTGTTCGAGCTCGTTACTACTTTCAACCTAAGGTTAGGTTTGTTACTTATCGAGTACATGGGGTCGGTTGTACTCATACTACACTTCTGCACCTTGCGTGCAGATATTGGATGTTGATATTGATGTGATCGACGGGAGCTGGATTTGAAGATGTATCTATGTTCCGGTCGTAGCTGCCTTGTTCATGGTAGTCTTAGATTTATAAAAAAAAAACTGTTTATGTATATTTCGAACAGATGATGTATTTATTTCATACCAGATTTGTAAATTCCAATCTTAGAAGCTCATGATTTATACTACTAGTCCTTGGGAAGTATATTAGAGTCAGTTAAATATTAATTGAATTGAATAGTTGTTAATTGGGTTAGGTGTCATCACGACTAGGTGGATTTTTGAGTGACAATTTAATTTCCCACCAATAATTTCTTCCAATTCGAAAGATTCCGCGAATCCCTTTATTCTTATGGTACTATTTTTGTTTATTGCTGTCTTATTCTCCTTCAACGTGAGAGAAACTTTTCATACTGGAGAATCTAATAATTTCAACTAAAAGTAGTCTTTTTTATACTGGAAAAAGAAAGCTTTGTTGACACCAAAAAAGTGGAAGAAATTGATACATGATGATGGACATAATTATTGTTTTAATATTTAAATTTTAAGTGAAATTTTAAAATATTGAGTTGAAAATGAATTTGGAGTGAAATACTGATTTCCTTTGATGACTTTTCAACTTTGACAAACTTTTTCTTTAAGATGAAGTTTATGTCAATTACGTACTCGTTTTTTTAACTTCAACTCAAAATTATCCAAACGCCTTTTTTCACGAAAAGTTTAGGTTTCATAGTTCATTTATCAAACTTGACTGGGCCAATGTGAATTTTACCATATTTGTCGGCTTTTAATTACACGTGAGGGCGATGCGTACACGTCAATGACGCTTCTAAGAAATTCCCAGCTGTCTGCTACCCAACAATTTCCTAGAAAAGGCAGAAGCCTTACTTGGTTGTACTAAATTACCAATATATCCTTTAATTGCACTTGGAAGTTAACATAAAAGAAAAATATATCGTGAGTTTACTGGCATTTAAACAGAAACGGAGCGGAGATTTAAAGTTTATGAATTATTAAATTGACTTGTTACACGGCAAAAGAAAATATCTCAATGTATAAAATTAGTAATAAACTCTTTAAAATCATAGATTAGCAGTCAACGAGAGGGTACAGCTTACAAGGCCCAATTTAGTAATTATATATAACACGTGGCACGAACCCATTTAATTGCCACGTCACGTCAGCCACCTTCAAAGTTTCCAACAGTTTAGGCTTCTTTAAAGAATTGAGACTTCTTTCCCATATCATAATTTCATCATCTTTGTCTCTCCAATTTTCTCTCTTTCTATAGCCGTCCTAATCTCCGGCGACCCTTTTTACTCCGGTCAAATTCTCGCCGGAAAATCTTAAATTCGTGTTTTATTGACAGTTTCCTTTCTTGTACCTTCATCTCCCTTCACCGATCTTGCACTTTACAGTAATCATCATGAATCCCGAATAGTAAGTTCCTTTTTATATCAAAGTCATCTTTGGATTCAAAAATTCAAATACCTTTGTGCTGTTTTATTTTTTATAAATTCTTCTTTTTTTTATGGTTTTTTTAGATCTATTTTTATAATTTTTAATCTTTGCTCTCTGTCATGTGATATTTTACTGCATATGGTTTTTTTCTTTTGTTTCTCTGTGGTTGTTTGCATGTGGGGTTGATCGAATTTTCTAGATCATGAATCATGTTTATGGATCGATTTTGCCTTATTTGCGTTGACCCTTTTTCTGTTTCTTGGATTATAATTAATTATTATTATGTGAACTGCTGAATTTAGTATCACGTGTTTAGAAATTTTGACTAGGGAATGGAATTGCCGAAACCATAGTTGGAAAGATTAGAATTTAGTTAAAGATCAGATTATTATTCCTAATTAAGCTTAAGTTGTAGTTGTATATGATGATTTAATCTTTGTTGGCCCTATCTTAGTGAGATCAGCTAGTTTATGTGGTCAAGTATTAAAAGGCGGATTCAGGATTTAAACTTTGTTCAACTTTTAAGGTTACTAGCATTGAATCTATTGTATTTTTAAAGTTATGGGTTTATATTGACTATTTATTTCAATTTTAGTGAATTGTGGCTCCATACCAAAAATACTGGGTTCAGATGAACCCAACGGCAATATGCTGAGTCAGCATCTGCAAATATTAGTTATTGTTCAAATTTGGGAATTGAATTTGAAGTAAGGAGGCTGCCGAATATAGATCATTCAGTCATTGGTCACTCCATTAGAGAAAGCTTCATTGTTTGTCAAAAGTCAGGATCTATCCATGCTATATAGTAGGACTAGAGGATAGGATCTTCCCCATGGAACTGGTAGTGTTTTTATTTATTTATTTATTTGCTGCTGTGGTTGTTAATATTAATGATTGTTGGATTTGGAACTCTCATGAATATTTATCATGGACCACTAAAACTTTGAGTAAACTATATCATTATCAAAAACAAAAATGAAGCTCCAGTCTTCTGCACCTCAGAAACAGTACCCTTTTTTATTTTTTATTTATTTTTTATTTTTTTTT